ATAACAACCACCACCACACATACTTAATTTTTTTCTTCAATTATAACCACCACCCCCCCTCCAGACACACACACCCACACATCCACTTGCACAAATATATCCCCTTTTTACATTTAAGACAACTTCACCTCACATAAATGACCATTCTCCTTCGCATTTATAATGATGCCTACTCCATATTCCTGTTTATTCCTCTTCTCTCATTTCTTAAGTTTATATTATTCCTTCTTCCTTTCTTGGTCCCCCCCCCCCCTTTTTTTTTTTGGTTCTCCCTCAGGTGGTCTGTTCTTCGCGGAGAAGATGCGTAGTTCAGGCTTCACGACCATGCTGGACCCGTTCCACTGGAAGTACGGCGACATCATGAACTGTCTGCTCTACTTGCCGGCTCTGATGGGAGACGTCTTCTGGTCCGGCGCCATTCTGGCGGCTCTAGGTAAAGTCCACAGAACACTTGACCGGCGTCTTTGGTATAGTGAGTTAGGCGCTTCGCTGTCGCATTGAGGAAACCTGAGTTCAATTCCTGAGTGTAGAGAATGTTTTATCGAGTATCTCTCGGTTTTTTTTAGGGATGTTGTATCCCTCTCAGCTTGGATTTGCCTTAACAAGCGGGGTCGGAAACCTGCCTCCTAAAGGAATTAATTTGCGTCGATTGGGGTGTAAAAAAAACCCACCTACATCAACAGGACAATTACCCTATCTCCACAAAAGAATTCTTTTTTAGACCGAGAATGTAAAATCATAAAAATTTCAAGGACATCGCTTTTTCACGTAGAACATTGAACACTTTAATCGTTTGTATTGCATCCCAAGACATCTTATAAGTTAGTTATAGATAAGTGTTGTGGGGGAAAACACAAATACTTTACTGAAACGAATACCTTATTTTTCCTGCCACCATCATATTAATAAATGCCCCGAAACAGACACTATGATCTCAGATGATTTTAAAAAAGGTAGTGTCGCAGAAACTGCTGAATTTTGATTTGAAGAACAGTAATATATGACATGTTTAAAAAAGCTCCTTTCAAAAGCCTTAGTCTGTTCTGTAAAGACAGCTGCCCTTGAAGAGTCTCTAAATACTCTCCAAATTCTTCCAATATAAAATTCCTTTTCTCATCTCTTCGACCCATTTTCCTCCTCAACACTGGAATCTTTTACGCGCTATTTTAGGACGTTTTCTACTCTTTTTATTCTTGGTCAGCTCCCTAACATTGGGTTATTGGTCACTAAACCAATACGTCTTTAAAGATAACTGAAAAAAATCTTAGCACATTTACATTATCGGAGTTAAAGCTCCAATTTTTTTTTTTTAATCACGTCTTCTCTGCGAGGACAAAGAATTTAGAACCGCAAATAAACAAACTTTATAGTTACACAAGCAACTAAAGCTTTCGCCCTTGGCCAATTAGTCAAAACTTTATACATATATTACGAGTAAATGAAAGCATCTTTGAAGGCGAGGAGTGTCCTGTGTGCTTTCATTGAAAAAAAAATCCAGTAACATGTTTTAATGGCCAACATCTTACGTTTAATTTGTCAAATGTACGAACACAACAGTAGGTGCGAAAAACACCACTGAATTTTAAAAGAAACAGTCTCCCCCCCCCCCCACACACACAAGTGATTTATAGCCCCACGTCTTCGAGAATTTGTTCCTGTAAGACATAACACCAATCCCACTATGACTCCAACAAGGACCCCAGATTTGTGCTCAGATTCGAGCAGTTCGAAATGAGGGGTTATATTGAACTATTAGCCAACAATTAAAAATCACTTAAATTGATAGTTCGACCTTAACCCCTTTTCCCTCTGACCACAGGTGCCACTCTCAAGGTCATTATGGAGTTAGACCTGGAGATCGCCATTATCGTGTCAGCCGCCATTGCCCTGCTCTACACACTGCTGGGCGGGCTCTATTCTGTGGCGTACACTGACGTCATACAGCTCATATGCATGTTTATTGGTCTGGTGAGATTAAACTTAACGCTATAAGTATAAAGCTAATTTGGTGTAAATTTGCCGATTGTGCAGTGCGCCTCTGTCGAGAGAGAGAGAGAG